CTGGGTTTTAAGACGGAGCGGGTGCGAGGGGCCCCCTGCTTCCAGCGTCCGCGACAGGCCTCCGCCAAGTCGGGGAGGAGAGGGAGGGCGAGCGTCGGAGCCCCAGCCTGCGGTTCCCCTCCCTCACCCGGTGCCCGCTGCTGGCCGGGACCGCCAGGCTGTGCTTGAGGTCCTCCCGGGAGCTGTGGGAGGGTCGTGCCCACCCGAGACCTAGGCTTCCCGGGTGGACGGCCGGAGGTCGGCAGCGGGGCGGGTGCGGGGAGTTGCCCTGAGCTCTCCGCCTGTTTTCTCGGCGCAGAAGCGGCCTCTGCTGCATCCCTGCCCACCATGGCCAAGCCAACAAGCAAAGATTCAGGCTTGAAGGAGAAGTTCAGGATTCTCTTGGGACTGGGAACCCCGAGGCCAAACCCCAGGTCTGCAGAGGGCAAACAGACGGAGTTTATCATCACCGCGGACATCCTGAGAGTGAGTGAGCTGCCCTGTCTGCCCTGCTAGGCTGTTGGGAGGTGCAGGGCAGGCTGGGTTCCGTCTGTCACCAGGTTCTGTGGGAAGTGGGACTGCTGTCCCCAGTGCTCTGGAAGCCTGTACATCTTTCCTTCAGAGGTGCAGGAAGTCAGGACCTTGGGGACTGCGGCTAGCACACTTGAGGTAGTACTAGGATGTCCGTGCTGGAGAACCTACTTCACTAGCCACGGCTAAAACGCCGTGCTTGGTTTCCACGGGTGATTAGGGTTATAGCCAAGTGTTAACCTGGTAATTTGTGAGTTCCTGGAACAAGCGGGTTTTTGTTTTCTGGTGTGTATTTGAATCCCCCTACCACATCCTGGCACCATGTTTTTTTTTTTTAAAGATTTTATTTATTTATTTGATAGAGACACAGCGAGAGAGGGAACACAAGCAGAGGGAGTGGGAGAGAGAGAAGCAGGCTTCCTGCAGAGCAGGGACCCCGATGCGGGGCTCGATCCCAGGACCCTGGGATCATTACCTGAGCCGAAGGCAGACGCTTAACCAACTGAGCCACCTAGGCGCCCCCTGGCACCGTGTTTTATAAATGCTGAGTTTCTGCACTTGTGAGGTTTCCCATTCAGAAACAACCAAAATGTTTGTCAGCTGGTGAACAGATAAACAAAATGTGATGTCATTCGTACAATGGAGTATTACTTGGCAAAAAAAGGCATGCGGTATTGACACATGCCGTAATGTGGATGAACACTGAAAACATGCTAAATGGAAGAAGCCAGACACAAAGGCCCCCACATAACGTGTGATTCCATTTCTATGAAATGTCCAGAATAGGTGAATCCTTAGAGATGGAAAGTCGATCAGCATGTGTCGGGGCCTGAGGGGGTGGGGAGTGACTGCTAATGGGTGTGAAGTTGTACTTTTAGGGGATGAAAATATTCGGGAGTCAGTGGAGGTGGTTGCAAGCCTTGTGAACATACTAAAAGCTAAGTTGTACAGTTTTAAATTGTTCAAACAGCTAATTTTGGTATGTGAATTTTATCTCAACAAAATGAAATGTCATGAAAAAGAGAAGTAGTCTGTTCTCACTCCATTGAAACAGAGTAGTAAATTCTCGTGGTCCCCGATTTCAGAAAGAGCCGGGCCAGGTCTCCAGCGTGGGAATTCTCGGGGTGGTCTGTGACGACTGGTGGTTAAGGAGACCTGTTGCCTGAGCGCTGGCCCCTTTGCTTCTTTCCTCTCTTGCCAGGAACTGAGTGTTGAATGTGGTATCAACAATCGCATCCGGGTGATAGGGCAGATCTGCGAAGTTGCAAAAACGAAGAAATTTGAAGAGGTAGGTCTGCCTCAGTTGGCTGCTGTTGAGAAGTCTGATTTGGCTCTTTCTAGGAGCAGGGTTGACCGCTGACTGCACCCTTTTAGGGGAGCTTCTGGAAACGCTCTGAGCATAACCCTTAGAGGTCACTCACACATGGAGGTGAGGAGCACAGGCATTAAGGTTTTTCCGGCAGTTCCGAGAAAGGCTTTAATAGTGACTTGCATAAACGCATGCTTACTTGGTTTTTCGTATCCCAAGGAAGGTAAGGGAACATCAGGAAACCGTGTGACTCAAGGCATGCCATTTCCGGTGTCTTTTTGGGAGAGGTGTCTAGTTGGTGGCATTGAGCAACCTCACAGATATAAGCCTATTTATTTCGGGCAGATTTTTGCAGGCTCTCTCCGGGCATCCCGAGGACAGACTGGGAAGTTGTCATGAGAGCACCTCAAGGGCTCTGCTGTAGCTTGGCCCGGAGATTATATGGGCAACTTGGGAGGAGACGTGGACCAAGCAGATTGGGATTTGCTAAGGGGGAGGGGAGAGCAACCACGACATCCACAGGTCATCTGAAACATGCAGACTATACGTTACTGAGAATAAATGTGAACATAGGCTTTTGCGTCCATGAAGTTGGCTGCATAGGTATTTGGGGGGGGGGGCTGTGACTGAATAGATAACCCTGAGAGGCTGGCAGAGCCCCCCGGGTCGGGATCTGCGTCTTGTTGTGGCTTAGGCTTTGTCACTAGGAGTGTTGTGCATAGGACAAAAGAGGTGAAAGTTCTATAGTATCCTGAAACGGTCAGGATGTGGGTCAGACAACATCTAAAGGATGTTTTAGTCCCCTCCTAAGAGAAGTGAGCCCAGGAAAGTTTGAGTGGTCTGAAAACCCTGATTGAAGGGAGCACGGGATGGTTAATGTGGGAGAGAAGGTGACAAGAGAGATTTATTCTGGGCAGCTGCAGGGAACAGGACCCAGGTACCCTGGGAGGCAGATTCCAGAAGCCCACAGCGTTCTCGGCAGCACAGACTTGGCAGGCGTGTGGTACAGAGTGGCCCTCAGCTGGTACAGAGAGACCAGGGGAATGGGATTTCTGGGTCAGGCTGCAGACCCAGGCCCGCCTGGTTCTGAGACTCTTTCAGTGGCTTTCTTCACTGGAGTCTGAGCATGCTCTAAAGGGGGACTCCTGGCCAATCCCTGGGGGCACCGGGACAGCTCCCCTGGCCTGCTGCTCTCCTCCCTCCCCCCACCCCAGGCTGTGGCCAGGACTTGCGTGGGTTTGAAGTAGCTTGCAGCCGTTCCCCTCTGTAGGCTCCGGCTCACGTGTGCTGTGACAGGTGCATGACATGTGGGCTTTAGGGGAGTGAGTTCTAAGTCAGAAGAACTGTTCTCCATCCTTCCCTCATGGTACTGAGCCTTGAGTGGAGGGGCCAGCACCCCCTAACCGTTGTCCCTCTTTGCTGGCGGCAGCATGCAGTAGAGGCGCTGTGGAAGGCCGTGGCGGACCTGCTGCACCCGGAGCGGCCCCCGGAGGCCCGGCACGCGGTGCTGGCTCTGCTGAAGGCCATAGTGCAGGGGCAGGTAACGGGCAGCGGGTCTGTGTGCAGGTGGAGCTGGCCTGGGTGGGGGGGGTGACATCGGGCGGCCACGGACTGCTCCCGCTGTGCCACGCGTGGACTCTGGTCTTTGGGGAGGGCATCTGGTGCCAGGTCTCTGCAGCTCGACTGCCTGAGCGGGCACCCTAGCCTCTCGAACCCGGGGGACCCCGGGCAAGTCACTGTAGTAGCCTCCACCTCCTCTCCCTTAGAATGGGGATGGCTGTTTTTCTTGCCTCCTCTGGAATGTTTTGGGGTGTCGATGAGGCTGTTCATGCAAAATGACGGGGATGTGCCCACCATGAGAGACGGGTGGCCTCCGGATGCCCTCATGCCCCCGGCCTGGGCCTGGGCCTCTGTCCATGGCTCACTGTGCTCCGGGCTGTGGCCATGCTGCTCTGAGCCTCTCCTAGAACCGCAGGCGGCCTCTGCATTCCTGCCTGGAAGGCTCCCTTCCGTCTTGTGCATTTCCTCCAGCCCTCCACACCCCTGCTGCGTGGAGAGGCCTGTCTCCTCGCAGAGTAGTCAGACCGTTTTTGTCACGTGCGGGCACAAGCACGTCTCTTCTTGGCCATGAGCCCCAGGAGGGCTGGAACAGCATTGTCCCCTGCTGTTCACCCACCGCTGTACCCAGAGCTTGCACACAGTAGGTGCTGTGCGCACGAGTGCACATGTACGTGCGCACGCGTACACACGCACACCTTATTGCATACAGGTGCCGTACACACGAGTGCACATGCACCCGCGCGTGTACACACACACACACTTTATCTGGAGCCGCTCCGACGTGCCCAGTTTGTCGTTTACAGCCAGTGCCTGTGGGAAGGAGAAGGGGTCCCAGGGTCGGGAGTCCTAGAGCCCCCTGTACTTGGACTGTGTATGGCTGTGTGGGAAACCCCACTGGTGGGGGTCCTGGCAGGACTGCTGAGCGTGTGCTTCTATCTTCAGGGGGACCGCTTGGGCGTTCTCAGGGCCCTCTTCTTTAAGGTCATCAAGGATTACCCCTCTAATGAAGACCTCCATGAGAGACTGGAAGTGTTCAAGGCCCTCACGGACAATGGGAGACACATCACCTACTTGGAAGAAGAACTGGGTGGGTGCCACAGTGGCTGTGGGGTTTCTCTGGCCTGGGGGATCCCGTTGAACCCCAGATGCCAGAAGGCTGCTGAGGTGCAGAGGGGGTGCTGCAGTTTACAGGGATGGCCTGCAGAGGGCGCGGCACCACGAGGTTCTGCTTGCCTGGGTGCGGCCTGGAGCAGCCAACGGTCTCCTGGGGAGCTTGTTAGAGATGGACAGTCCTGGGCTTCTCTCCAGACCTGCTGGCTCAGAGTCCCTGGGGAGTGAGGCCTACTAGGTGGGCAGGAGGTGGTCCGAGTTCTGTTGTAGGGAGAGTGTGCTGCTGACCCAGGCGTCAGCCTGTATTTTATCCAGGGTACCCTGAGGTTTCTGGGGGCTGGGGCCGCCTCTTTGTGTTTTCTTGGGTCTCTCTGTGCCCTGGGCCTGACCTCCTAGCCCTCCCCTTGGCTGGCCTTCCTCTCTGTTGTCCTGATGGGGTGACGTTTCCGTGGGTCTTGAGGTTTCATGTCACTGCTGTGAGGAGAAGAGGAAAGAGGAGGAAGTTAGTCTGACTGGGGCCCAGAGATGGGCTTCAGCTGTCTCCAGGACAGGTGCTGACTGGTGGCCATGCTCAGGTTTTCTAAGGTGATTTGGCCAATGGCCAAGCGTGGCTTTTGTCCCTGTTGAGAGAGTCTCAGGGAGGGGTAGAGGGCCAGGAATCTGCCTCCTAGACACGTGCCCAGTGATGCTCGCACAGCCCAGCCTCGGGGGCCCGGGCTCTGAGCATCCAACACACAAACCCTGCTATTGCCTCTCAGCCTGGACCCCCTCAGTGCCTCCTGGGGGCTGGTAAATTTCATAGTCCGAGCTGACAGTCCGAGCCTCCGTCGGCCTGCACATGGCCTGCTATTGCATGGGGCAGGTGACATGGCTGACAGCAGCGGAAGGGACCGGGGTGTTTTCCTGGGGAGGAGTTGAGTAGGCAGTACACCGCTCTTCTCTTCTTCCTCCTCAGCTGGGTTTGTCCTGCAGTGGATGGACGTCGGCCTGTCCTCAGAATTCCTCCTGGTACTTGTGAACTTGGTTAAGTTCAACAGCTGCTACCTGGATGAATACATTGCATCAATGGTCCAGTAAGAAGAGTTCCAATAACGTCCTTCTGATCATAGTTCTGCTGCCTTGGGCGCTGCGTGTAGCTCTGCAGTGTGACTAAAGCTGCTGGAATCAGCAAACAGTCGGAGATGCTGGGAGCAGCGTAGCCGCCCTTTGCTTAACATTTATAGAACGATAGCGTTTTCTCTTTACTAGACGAGTTACGTTAGCTGAGGTTTCTTTTTTTTTTAAAGATTTTATTTATTTATCAGAGAGAGAGAGAGAGAGAGAGAGGCAGGCAGAGGGAGAAGCAGGCTCCTTGCTGAGCAAGGAGCCCGATGTGGGACTCGATCCCAGGACCCTGGGATCATGACCTGAGCCGAAGGCAGAGGCTTAACCGACTGAGCCACCCAGGCGTCCCTAGCCGAGGTTTCTGTATCGTCGTTTTTGTTGTTGTTTGTTCACATACTCTGGGAGCCGTGAGGGCAGGGGCTGGGTCTTGCTGGTGCTTTCCAGCCAGCGCTGAGCAGTGGTTGGCCCAGGGCAGGCACCTGCTTGTCTGTGGGTGAGTGGAGCCGTCAGGGGTTCGAGTTCTTGATTTAACTGACTTGTAGAGTCACCATAAGGTGAGACGGAGCCACTCAGTCTCTTGAGAAACATATCCTTCCGCTGACTTTTCGCTTCCTCCAACAGTATGATCTGCCTGCTGTGTGTCCAGACCGTGTCATCCGTGGACATAGAGGTTAGTAGCTGGTCCTCCCCAGGGTTGGTTCCTCTCACCCTCCTTCTGGGCGGGCCGGGTGGCGGAGTGCTTGAAACCCCAGCTCTGGGGTCAAGCCCTGCACTGCCCCTCACTGGTTGTGTGGCCCTGGGCTGGCTGCTTGGCCTCTCTGGTACTCAGGACTCTGCAGTAAGGGTGGTTGGTTGGATGACCTCCGTCGTGGGGTCATAGTTCAGGATGGGGTGACCTACAGTGACGGTGATGCTCACTCGCTCTTGCTGTTCTAAGGAAGGCTGCTTTGGCAGTGGGGAGGGGCGGCAGTCACCAACCAAAGGAGGGTGGGCAGGAGGCTAGGGGGTCACCTCCCTGCGGGCGGGAGGCAGGGCAGGGCCGGCGTGACCCCTATCCCCCCTCCCCAGGTCTCCCTGCAGGTGCTGGATGCCGTGGTCTGTTACAATTGCCTGCCGGCTGAGAGCCTCCCCTTGTTCATCGTCACCCTCTGCCGTACCATCAACGTCAAGGAGCTCTGTGAGCCTTGCTGGAAGGTGGGGGTCTGAACTGTTGTTCTGGAGAGTTCTTCCCTGGATGAAGTTAAAAGTCAGGCACGTGGATAGGACAAGGGCCATGCTGTGTTCAGGGAATGGCCATCTGCCCTGTTGAGGGGAATCCAGTAACATTTTCCCAGGGGGCTGAGCTGAGGCCAGGGTTTTAGCAGCATTTTGAAAATTCTACAGCCTCTGTGTTTGGGAGGAGGTGGCGGAGAAGCGGCTGGACGCAGAGGGCTTCAGAGCGGTGGCTGTGCGAGGCTGGCCCCCGGGGCCTGGGGCTTCTTTCTGCCCATCTCTGATGGCGGTGCATTCTGTTTCCCAGCTGATGCGTAACCTCCTGGGCACCCATCTGGGCCACAGTGCCATCTACAACATGTGTCGTATCATGGAGGACAGGCGAGTGTGCGCCAGGCCTGGGGCGGACCCGGTCGGGCCAGGTGGCTTGGGTCAGCTGCCACAAAACCTTCTCCAGGGGGCTGAGAGCTTTCCTGTCCCTTTGAGGTGGCTGCTTCGGAAGCTTGCACTAGAGTTAGAGCTTACATCCCGTGTGCCTGCCCTGTAAGAGCAGGGAGCTTGGGGAGGCTGCACGGGCTCCCCTGACACGTGGTCTTCCTGCGGATTGTTCCAGAGCCTACATGGAAGATGCCCCGCTGCTGAGAGGGGCTGTGTTCTTTGTGGGCATGGCTCTCTGGGGAGCACACCGACTCTACTCCCTCAAGAACTCCCCGACGTCCGTGCTGCCGTCGTTTTATGAGGTGACTGGGTTTGTGCACCATAGTAGCTGGGTGGGGGGGGGGGGGGTGCAGCTTTTGGTCACTTGCTTTGCATCTTGGAGACCATGAAGTTTAGGACCCTTGGAAGGATTTATATTATTTTTATAAAGATTTTATTTATTTGACAGAGACAGGGAACACAAGCAGGGGGAGTGGGAGAGGGAAAAGCAGGCTTCCCGGAGCAGGGAACCCGATGCGGGGCTCGATCCCAGGACCCTGGGACCGTGACCCGAGCCAAAGGCAGACGCTCCACGACTAAGCCCCCCAGGCGCCCAGGAGGGTTTTATTTTATTTATTTATTTGTTTTTATTTATTTGTTTTTTAAAGATTTTATTTGTTTATTTGACGGAGAGTGACAAAGCGAGAGCAGGAACACAAGC